CAACCCAGTACATAGCCTTGAAGTTAGAAAGTGAAAACATCTATGGGATGATACCGTCTCTAAATGGCTAGACCATCCCTTAAAATCTTTCTAGCTGCATCTACATGCTATGGGACCCCCTCGCTACAGCAGAGATGGAGCTAGTAGCACTAGCTACTTAATGGCCCAGTATCTGTAGTGAAAGTGCTCTAAACAGAATCTTGGTGCACATCTCCAGTCTTGGTGCCACCAGAAGGAAAACTACTTCTTGCCAGTATGTGCTGCGCAAGTCCAAATATAGATGCAAATCTGCATCTAAAATAATTGCTCCAGTTCACTAATTAACTAATATGTTTTCCTTAGGATAGCTGAGCATTTTAAGAATCAGTTCTGGAGACAAAGCATCTGCAAAGCTCGAGCTGACCATGAAGGACTTGACACAATTAATACCAGAGCAGAAAGCTATGTAATTCCTGAAGTCTGTGTCCTCAGCTGAGGAATTTGGGGGGTTCCCCACAGCAGGTAATAGTTGCAATTTTAAGGACCTGCCTCAAGTTCAAGCTATAGCAAAAGAAGTTCAGAGCAAATCACTGAAATTAACAGTGGAGGTCAGTGCAATCAGGTTGAGGTCAGCTTTAGGTATGAATAGAAATAAAATTGGCAATTGCTTGCACACGAGCATCACGGATAAGCTGTCATTTAAATTGGAATTTAAAAGTGGGTTGCTTCTGTGCTTAACATATCTTCAAGATGATCCAGCAGAATTATAGGCAAGTTAGGTCTGATGTTTTATGCTGCAGATTGCTTGAGTTATCAGAAGTTAGCAGACACACATAGAATACATGTTTCAGAGAAGAGCTGATGTGAGCAGAGAAAATTCATGTCTTGCACACATAATATAGTCTTTTGAAGAGACTGGGTGCATAAAAGCAAGCCAGGCACTAGAATAAGAGGAAAGTTTCTCTTCTGAATGAATACCTGGTTATAGATAGGAAATAAAAGACACAAATAACTGGGCAGTTTTTGCAGTGAAGGGAGATTACCAGTTACTGCCTTCAGAACCTGTACAATTCAATATGCTCATAAAAGAGCTGGAAAAGGGAGACAGACATCAGTGACATGCCCAAGTCTGCTGATGGTATAGAGATATTCCAGGTAAGCAAAAGTAGACGTGGATACATAAAGTTGGAGAAGAATCCGACAGTATCAAACGTCTGGGCAATAAGATAGCTGCTGAAATTCCATGTCGATAAAAGTCAAGTGCAGACACAACGATAGGGTTTAAATTAGCCCGCGAAAGAGGTTCTGGCGTCATTGCAGATGGTTCTTTGAAAACGTCTGCTCAGTGCTCAGCAGAGGTCAGAAAGGCAAGTGGAATGCTAAGAATTGCTGGGAAAGAGATAGAGAATAAAAGAGAAAATGTAAGTACACCACTGAATAAATCTGTGGAGATCTTGAATAGAGTGCAATTCCAGTCACCCCATCTCAATGCAGCAGTAAAATAGAAGTAGAAGAGATGCAGGAAAGGGTGAGAGGGCTGACCTGAGCTGTGAAGCAGGGAGTCTAAGCCTGTGCAGCTTGCTGAAGAAATGAATGAGCAGGATTAAAACAGAGGTGTAAAATCAAGATCACTATGGAAAGAGTGAATAAGGCATTGTTTTTTGCAGTGAAGGATGTAATGACATGGTCAGGCAAGAAGTTTAAAGCAAACAACAGGAAAAAACTTTCACAGGCTATAACAAATTAGGAAACTCACCAAACACAATATATTTTACATGCTAAAAGCAGAGGGTTTTTAAAACGGTAGCAGTACTGAGGTTCTCAGTGCTGGCTTCAACATCTTCTTGCTCTAGCACCTATCCAAACAGACCAAGCTGGTCATGTCTCCTCTGCCCTCTACACCTGAGTGAGATTTGGCTTCTGGTTTGGTTTGGCCTCTCACCAGTAGAACCTTCCAGGTGTTTTGGACTGGATCATGATCAGCTAAAGATCATTGTGATCTTCTGGTATGATCTCTCCTATGACAAAAGCCACACAAGTCCCTTGAATGAATTAATGAATTAATTCTCTGAAATGCAGTGGAATATTGGGGGAAAAAGATCAAAAAGTGCCTAAAAAATATCCTCACTGAGTAAAAGGTCCCAAGGGTTAATTACACTGTCTTTTATTTGGTTCTTCCTATTTCTGTATGCAAAAGCTGCGGTAGCACTTTTGGCTGCAGCATGAAAATGGGAGGTCACATTGGATGGCTCAAGAATTTTAAGCCGGACTAAAAAGGACTAAATGCTAGAACAGGAGTATCATCAAATTATATCTGCCTTGGCAGCAGGAAATCAATCAAGAATGGGCTGATTTACACCTGCCGGCACCAGCACATCATGAATTTCATCATCTTTCCTAGTGATGTTTTTATCTTTGCATCGACACAGTCAGTGCAAGAAAAATATTTTCCCATTTAAAATCAAAACAGTCAAGGTAGTGTTTGGCAGAGTGTTGGAGCCTGGGGTTCCTGCTGCTTCTGACAACAGTGCTGGTATCTTTTGCTAATGACCAAAGTGCAATATAATGAGTTGTCTTGGGCTTCTGCTTTATTCAGCGTGCAGTGTTTTAATAGGCTGTTAGTATTTCTGAGAGGGATAAATGATGTTTATGCCCTCTTGTGGTATGTTATTGAACAGAATGGATTTTCTAACTGACAAAATTAGGCCAGTGATGGAAAGTCCCAGGTAAAAACCTGTAACGAATACTGTTTTGCACAGTAGAAAAATATCTATCCCTCTAGCATGACACAGTTAAGGCAGGGGGAAGCCAATTTTACATACATTTACAGCTGCAAGTACATGAGTGATGCCCACGATGACAGAGTTTGTGCCATCTTTCTGGAGTGAGGATAATTTTAAAAGTGCTTTTCTTTGCTAGGAAGTTTAGAAAGTGAAATGCTGCTTTCTAAAAGCAGTTGTGTTGATACTTTGTGTTAGTTCCTGCCAATGAGATGTGGTATATACACATACATATATTCACATTTTTTATCTTCTTTGCTCACACATCTGATTCCTTTGGTAAATAATCTGATTCCCTTGGGAAAAAGCCTGTCCCAAAGATGAAAAACACTGTTTGTGTTTTTCATGTAATTGTGTTTTATGTGTAGTTTTAGAGGGGGAAATAAGACCAGATTCCTGTGAAACTTGTCTTGTTATGCTGTTGTGTTCACATACAATGAATTAACTAGTCAACATCTTCCTAACCTGAGCTGAGAATTTAGGGGCTCCCCAGACATGTCAGTCATGGGTTTTGTGCCAATCTTATTGTTTCATTCCTGACTGAAAACTGAATACAGCAAAATGTAACCTTCAGGCAGTGAAATTACTAGAATAAATCAGACTAATGCTCTATAAAGTCCAGCAACTGGTGTCAGGCTCTGGTCAGTACTTAGATGTGCTGAGGCAGGGTCTAAAAAACTCTGTTGTAGGAAATCTGAAGGCCTTTTGGTCCCAAATAATCACCTATTATTTAAGTGTTAGCTAATGCTGTGAGGAAGCATTGCTTCCATTACATGTCATCTTTCTCTCTGGCCAGCCCCCAAGTCTATAGAAGACTGCTATAAAGATGAAGGGAACGATTTCTTTTCCACATCGACATCCATTCATCATGGATGTGGTTTCCACATCATCATGGATGTGGAAACCACAACAGTGGGTTTAAATGACAGCAGTGGACTTAATTGGGCTGGGCTTTAGGAGAAACTCTCTACAGGATTGTAAATATTGGAATGGGCTCCTCAAGGAAACTGAACCATCTCCATCTCCAAAGAACTTTCAGAAGCAGTTAAATAAAAGTTTGCTGAAAATAAGGTGGATATTAGTTGTTGTACCATGATGAAAGAAGTTGGACTTGATGTCTTAAAATAGATCTACTAGCTCTGTTTTTGTGAGTCTGTGTGATGATTTCCTTTTATTTGATTTTTTTATTAGTATGATGACAGAACACATATTTATCTGGTAATCTTAAATGCTGATGCTTTGTTCTTAGTGTTGGTCTTGCTGTCAAGTCTGATTGATAGCAAGGCAATTCTGTCTACATCCAGTACTTTAGAAGTATGCTTTTCAACAGTAGTCTGACATCAGTTACAGTGTTTATTAGGTTATTGTGGACTTCAGTGAGCACAAGTTATGTCCCCACTGAGATGAGAATTCACTTCAAAATGTTGGTGCTTACCAGTTTCCTTAGAAAAGGACAATTCAATAGGTAAAACGTCATGGCAAGTCATGTTAAAATGAAATTCCCTCCATCAGAAACCTTTCAGGAGTTTCAAATTCAGTTAGGGGATATCAGAAAGAAATTAGAGTCTAAAATCCCCACCTAATCTTTTCAAAGTGGTTATTGCTTCTGGTCCACATATTGGCAAATCTTCCAGGAATAAGCCATTATTTGCCTTAAAAATACCTTTCTGGTCATGATGGAACTGTTCTTTTTGAAGAATGGATTTGTAGAAACTCCATGAAGAAGAACCCAGATGCTCTTATTTCTTTATGACATCAGTGAGGCCAAAATTTCACCCAGAGAGTCTTCTTGGCATAAGGATATTTGGGGTGGACAGCATATTTCAAAGCTAAGGCACCTGCCTGGTGAAGTTCTGAGACGCTGCAAGGCCACTGGCCAGGGTTGATAGAAGCGTGCTCTGCTGCCTTTCACATTTGTTCACTTTTGTTGATGGCACCACATCCCTGCCTGGCGTGATTCATAAAGAGGAGAGAACAAATGTGTGGCCATGGCAAATTAACAAATGAGCCATTAAAGCAGGAGGGTGCTCTACCTCTTCTCACCAATGCCTGCTTTGGTGCCCACAATGTCTCCTAGCAAAACAACATGAGAGCAAGGATAAAGGGTTTTCAGAGATGCACTGCAAATGTGGTCCAAGTGCTGAGAAATCTCTGTGGCTCCTGCTGAGAGAAAACCTAACATCATTCATCAGCAGAGTAGAGAGCAAACCACTAATGGCTTTCCATCATATTTCTTGACAGGTATTGACAGGGGGCGGTTTTGGTCCCATCACAACAGAAATCCGGGAGGCTCCAGAGTTTTATTACGCTGAAGATTACCATCAGCAGTACCTCAGTAAGAACCCTGGCGGATACTGCGGCCTCGGGGGAACAGGGCTTTCCTGCCCTATTGGGATCAAGAAATAGCTTGTGCTTACTCCACTGCTTCTGCTTTGCTTTAGGGAATCTGAAAAAACACCGGCAACCCTGATAGATATAGCATGCCTGCATCATTAGTGCATAAAGATTTGGGAACTTGTTGGGGCGGCTTTCCATAATCTGAGCAGTTTCCCATTCACCAACATCATTAAATGCCAAAGCAGAGGCAGAAATTGCACCTGTTGGCAAATGCAGCTTCTTGCTCCATGCAGCTCATGGGTTTTCCTTGCAATGTTGTAATCTGGAGAGAAATTACTAAAAGTTTGGCTCAAAATGCTGTTAAAAAGATGAATTGGGATGTTATGGCACCTACTAAATGCTTTGCATAGCTAAGGCCTTCGGATATGTTTATTTGCTTGGGTTAATAAATTTGCTTATGTTATGAGAGCTTTGACATGGAGACATGGCTGGGCTCATCTTAACTATCACAAACCTGTAATCTGATGTCTTTGAGATCAGTGATTCTCTCACAATTAAATTTTCACAACATGTAATACCACCTATACTGCCTGTTTTCTGAAACAATTTTAGTAAGAAAAAGTAAAAATTGTAATATTCTTCCAAAAAGTGTATAAACACAAAAATAAACCTTTTTTTTTTCATTTCCTGCACTACAATAAATTACAAAAAAGAGAACAGAAAAATGTTGTCTGTGGTGTGTTCCATGGCTCTTAAGTACATATCAGGGTAGATCTAAATGAAAGTATCAAATATTATAAAAGGCTGCAGCCTGCTAATCAAACACCAGGGCTTTTAAATCTGTATTATCATGCATGACAGTTCAGAGGAGTAGCATCGGTACTGGCCACACTGTAACATAATTATTCCTGTGATTAATTATTTGTACTTCAATAGCTTGTGGAGCCCCACCAAGACCAGAGCTCATTACAGCAATTGCTGTGCAAACATAATGTCAGGCAGTCTCTGCTCCAGTGAGTGGATAGTCAAAATAGAAGGACAGCCAGAAAGAGGAAAAATAATCATCTTATTCATGGGGCTCCCAGAGTGGAGACTAAAAGCTACAGCCAATGGATGTAGAGAATACAGGAGTTAATCTGTATTGTTATGGGATCCAGTGGGTTATATGTATCCCATGGCAGAGAGTGGAATCTAGATGATCTTTAAAGTCCCTTTCAACCCAAACCGTTCTATGTTTCTATGGTATATATGTTATGGAGTATCCTAGGACAAATAGCTTCAGTAGGAAGGATGCGGATGGGTTTGTCCTACCCATCCCAACATGCTGCTTGCAATACTTAGAGCAGTGAGAGGTGTGGGCTTGAGCTTCTCATATGTTTCCCGTTTTGGAGACTGTCTTCATCACTAAGTACATGTGTGTCCTCTTGCAGATGTGCTTTTTTCAGGGAAAGCTTGTAAAAGCCTGCCTTGGTATGTCAATTCTGGGCAGCAGAGCACATAAAGCCATTTCTGAGGGCTAGAGGTGGGACCCAGAGACACGAATCCTTTTTTATTTTTCAGTTAGCTCTCCTTGGCACTCTGCTCCTTGGCATCTTGGTTTGATGTTTCCTGCTCAACAGCTCAGGTTTTAGTCTCAGAAAGGCCCAAAATATCTCCCTGAACATCTCCTGCAATGATGCAGCAGACCAGCTGTTGTTCCAAGCTTGGAGCAATTGAAAACATGCATCAGACAGTCTCCAGGCATGTAAATTCACTGCTGAAGTCCTGCCTGCTCTATCCAAAGACAAGCAGTAAGTGCCAGAGAAATTAGCTCCCCATCCTCCCTTGCTCCTCAGCTGATGCTGAGCTCATTCCAGTCTCAAAAGCCAGAGAAAACCTGTCCCTTTAGTAGATCTATACCTAGAGCAAGCTTGAGAGGAGCTACCACTGGCACAGTTGCCATGTTAGACTCTTTCCGGAGATGCCCCAAAATGGGCTTTCATCACACTCAGAATTTCCAGTTGCTGTGGTAACTGATTGCCTGTTCTTAACGTATTGTGACACTAAGGTGTTCTAGGACTCACTGTCAAGGAAACCAGCACTTCCATCTCATTTCCTAGGCATGAAGTGACATGAAAGCAAAGAAGAGAGGAAAGTAAAGTCTTCCTTAGACCCTATGCATTTTTAACCTCTGCATAATTCAGACTTCAGGGGGATAACTCATGATTTGTTCCAATGTACAGGCAAAACATTTCATATTCTGAATCATTTGTGTGATCATAAAATGTTTCTTGGTTCCCTTCTGTCCTTTCCTCTCCCTCCCATCCTACTCCACACTATAGTTACTGTTTTGAAACAGCTGGGATGTCTTTGGAGAAAACACCATTCTGTCCTTAATATAGCCAGGCTCAAGTCTTAACCTAGCTGAGGGTTTGGGTTTTTTCATTTGTCTTTATGGAAATAGTGTGTTGGTTTAGAAATCCACATGGATGGGCCCATTGTTGCTGAAATTTGCCACATCAGAATATTATGCCACCACAGAATTAATCATGGAGTTGCTGTAGGATAGAGTTTTGGCCTTGATCCCTTGGAATTGCTGCTGAGGGTACAGTAATCCTATCAGTGATACTATCAGTAAAGTTGAAATGCTAATGATGCAGCCTCATGGATTATTTTTTTTTAAGCTGGATTTGGTCTTGTAAGCCATCCTTGCCCACAGGGAAGAAGGGAGTAGCTGCTGCAACATCTTTTGACTTGTGACTGTTTGAAATTTACCCTACCACAGATCTGTATCTTTCTTCTGAGAACATAGACATGGTCTAAATGAAAAAGAGAAAATTAATTCAGATTTTCATAGGCTTCAGCACTTCTCAGAGTAGAAGATGAAAGCTGATGCAGGACCAGCATCTAGGGTCTTCAGAAAGAAGAACATGGTTCAAGATTCAAAAACTACTACAAGCACCCAAATCATGAAGTCCGCTACTGCAGTACCATGTGAAATTCAGTCCGGGATACAGACAGGAATTTCACTGCTGCCCTGTCCCTATCATACCTAAATGAAATCCCAAGCCTCTTGGGAATCACTAACCTTTCCCTCACTGCCTGAGAAAAGACAGCATCCAGCGGTGATGTCATCAGAAACAATCTGATTGTGTGATGTCACATCCTGGTTGCCCCAGCAGAGATGTGTGTTGTCTCTGGTGAGAACATGGAATGGGGAAGATGTCCACTGCTGTGGAAGCATCACTGCTCTGTTGTCAGAACGTTGGTCCAAGACTGGGATTGCAATGCTGCTCTTTACCCTCCTTTGTTTAACTTTTCTGATCAGCAGCGTCAGTGCAGGTTTTTCTTCTCAAATTTTTATGTTCAGAAATGATGAGGAGAGCAGAACTGCTAGTAGCCCTACAGGATATGCACCTATTGCTATATCAAACAGGACTGGGCTTATTCCTTATTTTTGGTGGAATACGTATGACTTATACTACAGCCTGATGCTGAACTTCTCCACTCATAGTCCCTAAACAAGAATTTTATCCAGCCTGCCAATGGGAAACCATCTGTGGCCATGCTAGCCCCAAAGTGCCTGGGCATTGCTTGGCAGAGCGCAGTTTTGGGGTGGCTACAGTGATACCAAGGGCTTTGGATAAAGTAGCATGGACAACTACAGGCCAATGCTTTAGCTGATGTTCTGTTCTCTAGTTTTGTAGCACAGGCAGTGCCACTGCTGTACATGAGCAATATGTCTCATTTTGTTCCCAGAATGTGGCCTCCGACCATCTTACGAGTCCTTTCAGGGGACAGGCAAGAGGTTCACAAAGGGGAGATACGCCATAGAAGGGGAGTTCCCGTGGCATGTGAGCATCCAGAGCAATGGGAGACATGTCTGTGGAGGCACCATAATCAGCGCATTGTGGATTTTGACTGCAGCTCATTGCTTTGGAGAAGAGATGTGAGTATTGAGGGGAAGTGAGGACAGCCCAGGCACAGTGGGTTGATAACATTCCTCCTTGTGGGAGTAGGATATGAATGTCCTTGGGGTTAAGTGCAAGATAAATGTTACTGAGCCAGAAAGAGAGTCTTGAAAACAGGAATTGCTTCCTTTGGGGAAAACAGGATCATTTTTTATCAGAGGTAGAGGTACAACAGAAATGTGAATGAATCTGGATAACCAGGCGATGCAGAAGGGGAATATTTTAAAGGATGATCTGAGCAACCTTTTATAAATGCCTGTGATTGCTGTCCTGATGGACCCAAGCATTACCTGTTCTTAGGTTGCCCAGAGAAGCTGTGGCTGCCCCTTGCCTGGCAGTGCTCAAGGCCAGGTTGGATGGGGCTTTGAGCAACCTGGTCTAGTGGAAGGTGTCCCTGCCCATGGCAGGGGTTGGAACTGGATGAGCTTTAAGGTCCCTTCCAATCCAAACCATTCTGTGATTCTATGATTCTGTGTGTCTACACATGTTGCAGTACTTCATAAAAAGAGATGTATTCCATTACACCTTATTCTAACCCCCAAATTACTCTTGCTTTCATATAGCAAACACCTTTACTTTATGAAGAGTCTGATTTTAAAGCAGTAGCTTCTGGATAAATCAACCCCATGCACTGCTCAGAGGAAGGGTCAAGCCCTCTGTGAGCCCCTTCCAAACTTTGGCAGGTCTGAGAGCAGAGACTGCTCAGTCTGGAGCTGCCAAGCTAGGGCACCAGAGATCCACAATATTCAGCCCAAGCCATCTGTTCATTAGGATGTGGGCTATTTATGACTTGGTTACACCTCTCTCCCCCGAAGATCAGCTTTGCCTAGAAGTGAAGGTAAATTTCTGCAATATTTATAGCTAACCTGCCTGTGAAATTTGCTGAGCACCATCCTACCCTGCTCAGGAGGCACCAACCTTTATAACACAAAGCCTATATGTTTGCTTATCTCTACCCTGCTTCTTTTTTGTTCATAAGGCCACCAGACCTCACTGTTTTAGTGGGGGGAACTGACCTCAGTGTCCCGCTGGAAGAACATAAGCCAGACAGCTTGATCATCCATGAAAAATTTGACAGAATGACCATGCAAAATGACATTGCTCTGATCCTGCTCAGCTCTCCCATTGAGTTCAGCAATGAGAAAATCCCTGTCTGCTTGCCCTACATGCATGACATCAATACGTGGCAACACTGCTGGGTTGCAGGGTGGGGAACCACAAGTGCAGGTGAGATGCTGTCAGAAGATCTATTTTCTAATCATTTATCCATTTAAAGTAAATGTTGTCTCACAGGAAGGATCACCCACACTAACTTCCACTCTCTACCTCCCTGGTAAACACATCCAGACCCTTGCAGCCTCTGCACATCCACCAGTTCTCTGTTCAGTGCAA